ATTTTGACAAATTATATTCCTTCTAAGAAAATAGGGGCGGGTGGGTGGGGCTAGTACTTAGTGAGATAAGACTAATTTTGGCAAATGATATAACCTCTAAGAAAATAAAAGGCGGGGCTAGTACTTACTAAGATAAGACTGATTTTCGCCAATCAAATACCCTCTAAGAAAATAAAAGGCGTAGCTAGTGCTTACTAAGATAAGACTGATTTTGGCAAATGATTTATTCTCTAAGAAAATAGAGGGCGGGTGGGCGGGGCTAGTATTTGCTAAGATAAGACTGATTTTGGCAAATGATATATCCTCTGAGAAAATAAAGGACGGGGCTAATAACTTGCTAAAATAAGACTGATTTTGGCAAATGTTACTTCTTCTAAGAAAATAGAGGGCGGGTGGGCGGGGCTAGAACTTGCTAAGATAAGACTGATTTTGGCAAATGATATATCCTCTAAGAAAATAATAGACGGGGTTAGTAATTTGCTACGATAAGACTGATTTTGGCAAATGATATTTCTTCTAAGAAAATAGAGGGCGGGTGGGCGGGGCTAGTACTTGCTAAGATAAGACTGATTTTGACAAATGTCACATCCTCGAAGAAAATAAAGGGCAGGTGGGCGGTGCCAATACTTCCTAAATTTCTTGATTCATTAATTTATTGACGCTCTGTATAAACAATTCTTAAAAATAAAGTGTATCTATGCACAGGACCATGTTTTTCTTAATATTTTAAATGCCATGTTGAAACTAAGACAGATATTTCTATTTCTATTTGTTCAAATTTTCTGTTCCATTTTGGCGATTTGGAACAACGGTTGGAATATTCGAAGAAATGCAAGTGTAGATGACATGAACCTAAATAAAAAAAAAATGGGTAATTTTCGTAAATACTCATAAAAAGGTAAAAAAAAATTATAGGGGGGATTGAAAAAAAAAGCTTTTGTTGCCCTAAAATCTAAAAAAAATCCAGGAAATACGAGTACATCTGGACGATAGATTCTGGAAAAATGGTTAAAATATTGGAAGAAATGAAGTCGAAAATAGCTTAAGTCGAAATCAACAAAAAATTTTAGCAACAGGATTTTCTAAAATATTTTGTTGTTGTTCTAATTTTTAAATTTGGACTTCTCGAAGTAATGAAGCTCAAAATAACTTTTGCGAGTGTAAATCAAGAAAAAATCTGTTTGAGTAATTTTCGAAAATTGTCCGAAAAAAGTCAAAAATTTCGTAAGACAGAAGTCAAAAAAATTGAGCTTTTGGAAAAGTTGCCCAAAAATCCAAAAAAAATCTAGAATACATACAGATATCAACGTATTAATTCCAAAAATATACCTCGTTTATGGTCGCTGGCTAAGATTTGCAATATATTTGCCGTCAAAATCAAATTCTTAAAATATCCCAAAGTCACTATGTTACATTTTGGCGAATCTGGAAAAACGGTTGAATATTCCAAGGCATGAAGCCGAAGATACCTTAAATCGAAATCAACAAAAAACAAAAATACAAAAAAAAAAGATAAAAAATTTCATAAGGGGACCTATTGAAAAAAAATGATATTTTAGAAAAGTTGCCCAAAATTCTAAAAAAAATCCAGGATATACGAGTACATCTGGACGATAGATTCTGGAAAAATTGTTAAAATATTGGGAGAAATGAAATTGAAAATAGCTTAAGGCAACAAAAAAATTTGAATCCGAGAACGGTCCCAGACCAGGATTTTCGAAATTATTCTGTTGCAAAACCTAATTTTTGAATTTGAACTTCTCGAAGTAATGAAGCTCAAAATAACTTTTGCGAGTGTAAATCAAGAAAAAATCTGTTTGAGTAATTTTCGAAAATTGTCCGAAAAAGATCAAAAATTTCATAAGACAGAAGTAAAAAAAAATGAGCTTTTGGAAAAGTTGCCCAAAAATCCAAAAAATTGAAGAATGCATACAGATATAAACGTATTAATTCCAAAAATACTTATACCTGTTTATGGTGCCGTCAAAATCAAATTCTTAAAATATCCCAAAGTCACTATGTTTCATTTTGGCGATTCTGGAAAAACGGTTGAATATTCGAAGAAATGAAGCCGAATATAACTTAAATCGAAATCAACAAAAAAAAGATCAAAAATTTCATAAGGGGAACTATTGAAAAACATGATATTTTGGAAAAATTGCCCAAAAATCTAAAACAAAAAACAGGATATGACTGATTTTGACGAATGTCATATCCTCGAAGAAAATAAAGGGCGGGTACTTATTAAATTTCTTGATTCATTAATTTTTTGACGCTCTGTATAAACAAGTCTTAAAAATAAAATGTATCTATGCACAGGACCACGTTTTTCTTAACATTTTAAATGCTTTGTTAAAAGTATGACAGATATTTATATTTCTATTTTTTCAAATTTCTTGGAAAAAAACGAAAATTAACACTTGTTTTGAGATTTTGGATTTTTTTTATTTTCAACCGTCCAGCTTTCCCTTTTTACAAAGTAAAAAATGTTAATTTAATAGTAATAATAACACCACCTGTTGAAATAAGTTAGCAAGTTGGTAGAACAAAAAAATTTCAAATTTCATGACACAAATGTCAAAATAAAATAAACAAAAACAACAGTTTTGAATGAAAATCAAGATCATCCTAACCTAATTTTTTTTGGCAGCACATCTTGGCACCAAAAATCTCCCCAGACAATGTTGCCGGTTGAGTTTTCGTTCTATGTTGCCAGTTGAATGGTCTTTTAATTTTTGTACAGATTTTTGGTTTTGGTTTGTAAATTTAGTAATACTTAAGTGTCGTTTCAAAAGTTAATTATGTAATTACGGAGACGAAATTTCAGTACGTATTGCATTTAAATTTAAGTAAGTGACTAAAAACTGCAATAACTCATCTATAAGGTATTTTTACGTTTTTATTAAGCAAATATAAATCGGTTATGGCTACCCCCAAAATGATAACATTTTTTAATTTCTCAGAGTTAGTGTCATACAAAATAACGTACAAATTGACCATATTTTTTTTTTTAGCTTAAACACAAGATTTTTTTTCATAGAAAACACTTTTAACTTGCACCTTTTAGACTTTTTAAGAATTCAATAAGAAAGATAGAAATTCAACATGAAATCCATCCTGCCAAAACTATGACGTTTTTGTAAAAAGTCATCAAGTTGGTATTAATTTGTAAACATTGTGTACAAGTTCTACAATTAGAATCAGTGACAACGTGACAACGCGACAACTGACAATGACAACTAACCTCACTTTTTCGTATAATAAATTAAACTTTTCAACAATACTGTCAAGTGTCAATATATCTGTTAAAACTGAAATTAACAAAAAAAGTCACAGAATTTTTATAAAATGTTACAATTTTCAAGTATCGATATTTTTGTTCTCTTTCTTTCAATATGTCGGTGTGTCCTTTAAAAAAGTAAAAAATCTCAGTGTAGTGACTATCAACTTTCAATACAAAAAATACTTAATTATTCTACGTTTATAGTATTACTTTTTTTTTTTTTGTTATAAACTGGTAACCAAAAGTTGTGCATCTAGCATCCCGAATAGTGACGCTATAGTGTGCCAAAAGATATAGTGGTTTTACAATTTTGATTCCTTCAGCCGTCCCATTTCTCCTAAACAGGAACGGCCGGTGTTCAGCATGTTAGCTAAAGATGCTCTTTATTGGCAAACTAGAGGCTTAGAAAAGTCAAAATCATGAAACCACTATATGCTTGGCCACAGTATACAACATCACGTATTTATGTAGATACACAAAAGGTGAAAAACGTACAAGGTTTTTTTGCAACCCATTTTTAGACAAATTCTTAAAACTCAAAATTTAAATTCTGTTCAAATAAATAAAAAAATGCAGTAACTAAGTAATCTAGGAAACAGTTTGGTAGCCTCGAATTACAGTTTAATTCCAACCGCCACACACTAATTGAAAGCATCACGAAAACAAAGAAATTCACTTTCATGCCTGCAATGAAGTCCTTTGTGTTGTGCAGCTCAATGCATTTTTTCCTTCATCAAGTACGTGACGGTGTTGACAATAAAACGCGGTGGAAATTTGTATTTTTCCTCCAAATTAAAATTCTTCGGCGGTGCCGCAGGTGTTTTCGAGGTAAATTGCTCGGGTATGTGTCTGCAATGTTAAAATATGCTAATTATCTATTTCCTGGTAACTCGTCCAATTTGAAACAAATACTATTTTTGATTCTTATATCGATAAAAACTAAAAAGTGTTCGTCTCATGCAACTAGGTGATAATTGTATTTCTGAATTCCAAACGCCAAACATCAATCTCAAAATAAATGCCAATAATTATAATATTAGTGCCCACGAGGTGCCAATTTTTGTAAATTTTAGTATCCCATTTCGTGACACAACGGTGATAATTGGCAAAACAAAACGCTGAAAATAAATTTTGAAATCTCAAAAAAAACTCATATTTTTACACAATGCGCTATAATTAGTTATGGTCTAGGCGTACAAATGTTTAAGCTGTTATATTTAACCATTAAAATGCTGGTATTATTTATTGTATTGTTGAGGGTATAAATAAATGTTACTAGTCCAAGTAGTTGGCATAATATTCGTGCTATACAGAGTGTGATAGCTCAGTATGAATATTTTTGTATTTTTTGAATATCCATATTTTCCATTTTCATTTTTGCTGATGAGTATTACTGGTTGCCTAGAAGTTAGAAATAAAGTTTATGTATAGCCTAACAAATTTAGCCATCATCCCCCTCCAACGAAAAAAATGTACACTATACCTATTTCTAACAACTAATTTAGTTTTATTGTGTCTCACATTCTATATAAAATTGTCAACAAACTCCAAACTTAATCCACTTTGGATTAAAACCTTTTTTATTACCAGTTATGCAATATCCTACGCTAAATATAAAAGTAGACCACCCTCGTTACCTTGATCACAAATTCCCGACAAAACCGACAAACTTCACTCGAAGGTTCGCCTAAAATTAAAACTGCAAATTTTCTTCCAGGGTCCCGAGCTCATCCGCGTCTCCCGCTTCTACAAAGAAGCCAAAGAAGGCAAATTCGTCAGTTATATGTTCCCCGATTCTCGAACCCTCTACGAAACCTTCAGACGCGGCGCAAAAGAATCGAGTAAGTTTCGTTCCAATCCCTGAACCGTAACCTATTTTTCCCAACTTTTGATCGCCACGATCATGATAAATTGGGTTAGACATTCTTGGCACCGACCCCAGCGATGTTTCACGTAGCGTTTTTTCGTTAGATAACGGACCATGTCTGGGCTGGAGGGAATCCTACACAAAACCTTACCAGTGGCTAAGCTACAACGAGGCTCTTCTGAGGGCCAAGAACTTCGGCGCAGGAATGGTGGCCCAAGGACTCACCCCTGGAACGAATACTTTCATCGGGATCTACTCCCAGAACTGCCCGGAGTGGATCCTGGCGGAGCAAGCTGCTTATTGCTATAGCATGGTCTTGGTGCCGCTGTATGATACTCTCGGTCCTGATGCATGTGCCTTCATTATAAAACAAGGTTCGTTTTTTGAGTTGGAGTAAGTGAGTCATTATTTATTCCAGCCCCGTAGCTAGAAAACTTATTCAGGGGGGGCAAGTTTGTCGACAGAGGGGGCTTCATGTAAATATTTATATTTTAATAATACACTCAGATAACTACTTTATTTTTTCTGAGTTTTTATATTTGAAAGAACATTAAAATAATTGGAAACGTCGATTTTTTACGCTAAATTTTCGTAAAAACCTGTCGAAGTCCAAAAAATTAGTACGGTACTTGGTTAAAATGCTGGTTAAAACAGAGAATGTAGATTCACAAACAGCTGTACTGCATCCAAAAATTTGTGTAGTGACCATATAGGTAACATCCAATTTGTTTGAGTTTATTTTTTTGCATGTTTAGTACATATTTTAAAAATCCGACTTCGAAACCAAATATTTCGAAAATTTTGGTACGGAACCATGAACTCGTCATGTTTTTTTAAACTCGTCGAAATGTGCATTTCACAATTTTTTGTCAACTTTAACAAAAGCTCAATTTTTGGAAACCCATATAAAATTTTTGGCTTTTCCCAAGCATTTTCGAAAATTACCAAAAGAATTCCTTTGTTCATCTCGATTTCTTCCAAAAATCGTTTTGGATTCAATTTTTTTGAAAATTCTTACATTTTTTGCAGAATCGACGGAAGAAAAATGGCAATTTTTGAGAACCTGTATCAAATTTTTGACTTTTTTCAAGCACATTCGAAATTACCAAAAGGGATTCCTTTATTGATTTCGATCTCCAGATGTTGTTTTTGGTTGTTTTTTCGAAAATTCGTACAATTTTTCCATAATCGCCAAAAGAAATATGGTAATTTTTGAGAAATTTTGAAAATTCCAGCTCGAAACCGAGTATTTCGAAAATTTTGATCCGGAACCTTGAACCTGTCATGTTTTTTTAAGCTCGTCGAAATCAATATTTCAGAATTTTTTGTCAACTTTTACGAAAGTTCAATTTTTGAAAACCCATATAAAATTTTTGGCTTTTCCCAAGCATTTTCGAAAATTACCAAAAGAGATTCCTTTGTTCATCTCGATTTCCAGAAATCGTTTTGGATTCAATTTTTTTGAAAATTCTAACTTTTTTCCAGAATCGACGGGAGAAATATGGCAATTTTTGAGAACCTGTGTCAAATTTTTGACTTTTTTTCAAGCACGTTCGAGATTACCAAAAGGGATTCCTTTATTGATTTCGATCTCCAGATGTTGTTTTTGGTTATTTTTTCGAAAATTCGTACAATTTTTTCACAATCGCCAAAAGAAATATGGTAATTTTTGAGAAATTTTGAAAATTCGAGCTCGAAACCGAGTATTTCGAAAATTTTGATCCGGAACCATGAACCTGTCATGTTTTTTTAAGCTCGTCCAAATCTATATTTCAGAATTTTTTGTCAACTTTTACGAAAGTTCAATTTTTGAAAACCCATATAAAATTTTTGACTTTTCCCAAGCATTTTTAAAAATTATCAAAAGAGACTCCTTTGTTCATCTCGATTTCCAAAAATCGTTTTGGATTCAATTTTTTTGAAAATTCTTACAATTTTTCCAGAATCGACGGAAGAAATATGGCAATTTTTGAGAACCTGTATCAAATTTTTGACTTTTTTCAAGCACGTTCGAGATTACCAAAAGGGATTCCTTTATTGATTTCGATCTCCAGGTGTTGTTTTTGGTTTTATTTGGTTGAAAAGTCGTAAAATTTTTCAGCAATCGCCAAACGAAATGTAATTTTTGAACTTTGAAACCGAATGTTTCGAAAATCTTGATCTGGGACCATCTACACCTTGTGTTTTTTGACTGAGCTCGTCGAGATCAACATTTCAGATATTTTTGTGGATTTTTAGTCAACTTCAACAAAAGCTAAATTTTTGAAAATCCATAAAATGTTTTTGACTTTTCCCAACCGTTTTCGAAAATTAGCAAAAGGGATCTCTTTATCGATTTCGATCTCCAAATGTTGTTTTTGGTTTTATTTTCTCGAAAATTTGTACAATTTTTCCAAAGCCGCCAAAAGAAATGTAATTTTTGAGAAATTTTGGAATGTCGACTTTGAAACCGAATTTTTCGAAAATCTTGGTCTGGGACCATCAAGACCTTATGTTTTTGGATTAAGCTCATCGAGATCTACATCTCGGAATTTTTTGTTGATTTTTTGTTAATTTCAACAAAAGCTCAATTTTTGAAAATCCATATACATTTTTTGACTTTTCCCAAGCATCTTCGAAAATTAGCAAAAGGGATCTCTTTATTGATTTCGATCTACAGATGTTATTTTTGGTTTTATTTTTTTGATATTTCGTCGAATTTTTCCACAATCGCATAAAGCAATAACTTTTTTTTAAGTCACTTTTGAGATTTTTTAGAAATTTTAGGTAGAACCCAATATTTCGTAAATTTTGCTCCGGGAGCATGAACATGTTTTTCGATTAAGCTCATCGAGATCTATATTTCAGAATTTTTTGTCAACTCTAACAAAAGCTCAATTTTTGAAAACTAAATAAATTTTGACTTTTCTTAGCATTTCCAAAAATTACCGAAAGTCATTCTTTTATTTATTTCAATCTTCAGATGTTGTTTTTGGTTTTATTTGATCGAAAATTTGTAAAATTTTTCTAGAATCGTCAAAAGAAATAGGAGTATAATTTTTGAGAAATTTTAAAAATTCGACTTGGAAACCGAATAGCAGCAAGACCTTATGTTTTTTGACTAAACTCGTCGAGATCTACATCTCAGAATTTTTTGTAGATTTTCAGCCAATTTCAACAAAAGCTCAATTTTTGAAAATCTATAAAAAAAATTTGACTTTTCCCACGCATTTTCGAAAACTAGCAGAAGGGATCTTTTTATTGATTTCGATCTCCAAATGTTTTTTTTTTTGGTTTTATTTTTTCGAAAATTCGTACAATTTTTCCAGAGCCGCCAAAAGAAATGTAATTTTTCAGAAATCTTGAAATGTCGACTTTGGAACCGAATTTTTGAAAAATCTTGGTCTGGGACCATCAAGACCTTATGTTTTTTGATTAAGCTCATCGAGATCTACATCTCAGAATTTTTTGTCGATTTTTTGTCCATTTCAATAAAAGCTCAATTTTTAGAAAATCCATATAATATTTTTGACTTTTCTCAAGTACCTACATAGTAGGCTATGGAATAAAATGTGACATGTTCATTTTTTTATACGGTCAACATCAACGGTAAGGTGATATTGCCAAATAATATACCCTGTACGAAAATAAAGGTGGGGCGGGTGGGGCCAGTTAATATGCTTCGGCAATCGGCATTATATTGAAATTTTATTACTAATTTGAAATTTATAATATATAAGTCTTCCAGGGGGGGGGCAACCACAACTGCTAGGGGGGGCTCAGCCCCCTCTTGCCCCCCCGTAGCTACGGGGCTGATTTATTAGCCACGGAGGAGTTTGTTTGGTAAATAGCCGGAAATTGCGAAGAATAAAGCAATCGAATTTAAATATAAACAAAAACTGCAGCTAAAAATACCGAATGACCGAAAAGTGCATGTAAACTCCTTCGTGTTTGAACGAGCTTTTTCCCCGATCCATTAACTTCTCGTCACTCTTGAATTATTAAATAATAGTTTTCCGATATGGTCGCATTATCCACGTGTCCCTAACTCTGTTTTTCCTTCCAAGCTGAAATCTCTGTCGTCATTTGTGAAGACGACTCCAAATGCAACCTCCTTCTGGAACGGGCACCTCGATGCCTGCGCAAACTCATCGTCTTCAGAGACGTCCGACCAGCTACCAGACAAAGAGCAAAGAACCGCGGCGTGGAAATCGTCACGTTCCACGAGGTCGAAGTCCTGGGGTCCAAATCGAATCACGTAGAAGTCGTAAGTGCGCAAAGGGTGGTTTTTCAGACGGTTATTGAAATTGTTGCAGCCCCCAAAACCCTCAGATCTCTGCACCATCTGTTACACCAGTGGCACCACGGGTAACCCCAAGGGAGTGATGTTAACCCACGAGAACGTGGTGGGCTCTTTGAGCGCGGTCCTCATGCAGATGGGCGACCATAAAGTGAGAAGTACCGACGTGCTGATCTCGTTTCTCCCGCTAGCCCATATGTTGGAGCGCTGCTGCGAGGTAAAACCCCGTCTTTCGCTATTTCGAGTCTTGTCTACTATTGATTTGTTTGTAGAACGCGATGTACATGATGGGGGCGTCCGTGGGGTTCTACTTAGGCGACATAAGGCGATTATCTGACGACATGAAAGCCTTGAAGCCTACTGTAACCGCTGCAGTTCCTAGACTTCTTAACAGGATTTACGACAAAGTCCAAGCGGAAGTCAACGGCAGCTGCATCAAGAAGATGCTCTTTAACATGGCGATGAGTGCCAAGGAGAGTGAAATCAAAAGGGGGGTACTCAGGAGTAACAGTTTCTGGGATATGCTCGTCTTCAGGAAGGTGCAAGAAGGAATGGGAGGCAAACTAAGACTCATGTTGGTAGGGTCTGCACCTTTGGCGGAGAACGTCCTCACATTCACTAGATGTGCGCTGGGTTGTTTGGTACGTCTGTGATACCTTGGAAAGGGTAAAGGTCTAACGATTATTATAGGTGATTGAGGGTTATGGCCAGACGGAGTGCACGGCCCCTATTACCCTAACCATCCAAGGCGACCACGTCCCCGGACACGTGGGTCCACCCGTGGCCTGCAACTGTGTCAAACTGGTCGACGTCCCCGAAATGGAATACTGGGCGAAGAACAACCAAGGCGAAGTGTGCGTCAAAGGCACCAACGTTTTCCAAGGTTATTACAAAGATCCCGAAAAGACTGAAGAGACAATAGATGCAGGAGGGTGGCACCACACCGGAGACGTCGGCATGTGGATGCCAGTAAGTCCCAAGATCACTAAAACCAACATCATTAAATCCGTTTCTATCTTTGTAGAACGGAACCTTGAAGATCATCGACCGTCGGAAACACATCTTCAAACTCTCCCAGGGCGAATACATCGTGCCCGAGAAGATCGAAAACATCTACATTAGGTCGCAGTACGTGAGCCAAGTCTACGTCCACGGCGAATCCTTAAAGGTATAACTACCTCGAGGTCGACCTCTCCTTAACGTTTCGTCTTTCAGTCGTGCATCATCGCCATCGTGGTCCCGGACGTCGACGTTATCAAATGCTGGGCGTCCGAAAACGGCATTCCCGGCACTTTGAGCGTCCTTTGCAACAACGATGACGTCAAGAAGCTAATTATGGACGACATGATCGCATGGGGGAAAGAAGCGGGGCTTAAATCGTTCGAACAAGTGAGTGTGCGTCGATTTGCATCGGAATTGTTGCGAGCCTTTTGTGTTTCAGGTTAAAGACATTTATTTACATCCAGATCCGTTTAGTGTACAGAATGGACTGCTGACGCCCACGTTAAAATCGAAACGTCCGCAGCTGAAGGCTTATTTCAAACCGCAGATCGAAGATATGTACAGTAAACTGACGTAAATTGTTGAAGTTGAAGTATTAGGAAATTTTAGACCTAGAAAGCACCAAAGCAGAAGTTTCTAATTCAAATAAAGACTTGTTTCATAGCAATATCGTCGGAAGTTGCAATAAATTTTGCATATCTATACTTGATTAAGGCCGTTGAGGTCGTCTAGAAGGTTGCCAAAATCAAGTTTTTGATATTTCTTTACGTGTTCATTTATACCCATTATCAATTATGCATTATCTTGCCTTTTAGACATAGGTTAACACTTAACCACCTTATTATCTTAGGTTAGCATTTTGTTGTATCTGACAGCTATTTTATTTATTGTTCGTTGTTATATTCTGAACAACCCCTTTAATAAAATTATTTGCAAAAACCCGCACACTATTATTGCGTCACGAACACAACACAAAAAAGGATTTATTGGATGGGACATCAAACAACCTCTATACAAATTACACATTTATTAACTTGTCCTATTTCTTGGTTTTAACGGCCTGTTGGGCTTTCAAAACCTTAACGACGATCTTTTGTTCCTCGATGAGGAAAGCTCGGACGATCTTTTCTTTGACGCACTTGTGGCACAGGACGCCACCGTAAGCGCGCTTGACGGTCTTCTTGCGTCTGCAGAGGCGGGAACGCTCCTGAGGGCGCGCTGGAAGGATGCCCCTTAGTTTATCTTTGCATTGTCCGCACCTGGGGATCTTCTTGGGTTTCTTCAGGTATTGGTATACCAGTCTGCCGCCTGGAGTGCGAACACTGGAAAACGAGATTGTTAGTTATGGGAAACGATGCAGTGAAGAAATTGCGTGTGTTGAGGAGATTCAGACAAGTGAACGAAAAAGGTTGTCGTCACTGTGGTCAGGACTCTAGCCAGTACTCATCATTAAAAAAATAGAAACATGTTCTACAATAATACAGAACGTACAAGGTTCCGTCTGATCACTAACTGCCTTATTTACATAATAAAACAATAAAAAACCTTCTCAATATTCATAATGTTTAGTTGTCTAAATGGTAAATTGGAATATTATTTCTTATGACATCAACTAGTCTTGAAGTTGTTCTTGTTAAGAGATTTTGAATGTTGTCAATGCCTTGATTTCCTTAATAAATATTAACTTGTTGCTTCTATTTTAAAACAGCCGTTACTAGATTTAGTTCTCGATCTGGATCACCCGGATGTACTTATGCAGTAGATTATCAGAACAACAGATTTTTATCACAACGATTTATAACTATGCCACTTCATCACTTATTTTAAGGACAAATTTATCCGGTGAATTAAAAAAAACTTGTAAACTTTCGTAATATGATTAAGACTATTGGCTACATTTTCTTGTTAAACATTTATCTACAATTTATCTCTGAATGCTCAACACAGCACAAGATTGGACCTAAAACTAGAAATTTTGTAAAGAGTCAATCGAACCACAAAAACATAATAATAGAAACACTGAAGATCAACATTTTCGTATTCTACAAACTGCAGAACGTGAAATTAGATATTCGTCAAAATTATTCTACATATACGAGCATTTATAAATAATCTAATTAAATAACTTGTGTTTTAAAGAGAATTATTTTGTGCACGATATCCCATTACTGCCAGTCAAAATTTGAAATTAATATTGAAAATAATAATTCCATCTTTTTTCTTTATAAATAATATTATTTTTCCATAGCCGCAGCCAATTTTGTAGCTAAAAGTTTCACTCTTTCCTACAAACTCTTTTACCCTCTACTTTTTATAGGGTGTTTTTTTATCAAAATTAGTCTTATTTTAGCAGGTATTAGCCCCGCCCACCCTATTCTCAAATTAACGATTTTATTTCTGTTCATAAGTATAAAATTCACCTTTGATTCAGATACAATGAATCACTAAAATGAAGGCGAGGTAAATGGGCGGAGTTAAATATATGTTCTTCTTGTAAAGTGGCAAGAAACTAATAGAACCTGGGCTATTAAAAAGAGAAAAAAGAACGCTAATAGTTCTTTTTTTTTTGTTACATTATTTGCTATAAAAATGCATTTCTTATTTCAGAAGAAAAAAAACGGGTGGGTGGGCGGGGCGAACTTTAACTTTTTCTTACAAAGACTTTTATAAGCAAACAGTGGCCCGCCCACCCACCCCCTCTTCATTCCAGTGACTACTCTAAATATTGTTCAGTGTTATCTTGGCAAGTGATGCCCCGCCCACCCACCCTCTATTTTTAATAGGGTTATTTGCCAAAATTAGTCTTATTTTAGCAGGTACTAAGCCCGCTCACCCACCCTATTCTCATTTTAACGATTTTATTTCTGTTCATCAGTATAAAATTCACTTTAGATTCAGATACAATGAATCACTAAAATGAAGGCGAGGTTAATGGGCGGAGTTAAATATATGTTCTTCTTGTAAAGTGGCAAGAAACTAATAGAACCTGGGCTATTAAAAAGAGAAAAAAGAACGCTAATCGTTCTTTTTTTTTTGTTACATTATTTGCTATAAAAATGCATTTCTTATTTCAGAAGAAAAAAAAACGGGTGGGTGGGCGGGGCTAAGCTTAACTTTTTCTTACAAAGACTTTTATAAGCAAACAGTGGCCCCGCCCACCCACCCCCTCTTCATTCCAGTGACTACTCTAAATATTGTTAGGTGTTATCTTGGCAAGTGATCCCCGCCCGCCCACGCCCTATTTTTTTTTTGGGTGTAATTTACCAAAATCAGTCTTATTTTAGGAGATACTAGCCCCGCCCACCTGCCCTATTCTCATTTTAACGATTTTATTTCTGTTCATCAATATAAAATTCATCTTTCATTCTGATACAATGAATCACTAAAATGAAGGCGGGGTAAGTAGGCGGAGTTAATTATATGTTCTTCTGTAAAGTGACAAGAAACTAATAGAACCTGGGATGTTAAAAAGATCAAAAAGAACGCTAATCGTATTTTTTTCGTTACACTATTTGCTATAAAAATGCATTTCTTATTTCATAAGAAAAAAAAACGGGTGGGTGGGTGGGGCTAAGCTTAACTTTCTCTTAGAGAGTCTTTTAAAGGAAACAGTGACCCCGCCCACCCACCCCCTCTTCATTCCAGTGACTACTCTTAATATTGTTCAGTTTTATCTTGGCAAGTGATGCCCCACCCACCCACCCTCTATTTTTATAGGGTGTTATTTGCCAAAATCAGTGTTATTTAAGCAGGTACTAAAACCGCCCACCCACCCTGTTCTCATTTTAACGATTTTATTTCTGTCCATCAATATAAAATCCACCTTTCATTCAGATACAATGAATCACTCACTAAAATGAAGGCGGGGTAAGTGGGCGAAGTCAATTATATCTTCTACTGTAAAGTGGCAAGAAGCTAATAGAACCTAGGCTGATAAAAAGATCAAAAAGAATGCTAATGGTATATGTTTTTTGTTACACTATTTGCTATAAAAATGCATTTCTTATTTTCAGCAGAAAAAAAACGGGTGGGTGGGCGGGGCTAAGTTTAACTTTTTCTTACCGAGTCTTTTATTTAAGCAAGCAGCACCCCCGCCCAACCACCCCCTCTTCATTCCAGTGACAATTCTTAATATTGTTCAGTTTTAACTTGGCAGGTGATAGCCATTTAATAAGCAATTTAAAAAAAATTAAAAGCTTGAACAAATTTCTTGACAAAAACATTTTAAGAAATTCTATGAGGTGATGTCATCAGTTTTGTGGGAGATTAATCAATTAATTTAGTCAACATTCTAAAATAATCCCTAAATCACTGTTTCTAGATTTCGCACACCTTGATGAAGGTGACGAAAAGGCACGTTGTTAAGAAGGCTCTGAAGAACTCGGAAAAAAAATGGGTTAAAAAAATCCTCAACCAAATTTCGAATGTTTTAATGTGAACTTTATTAACAGTATAAAATTCCGATTAAAATTGTCAAAAATGGTAGATGTCAACAGTAAAAAGATGACGTGGATCGTATTCTAGCAAATTATTATTAAAATAATAATAACTAATTATTAACTGTCCATACAGTTCATTAACAATCAGAATTACCAACTTAATTCTTCAACTTTGAAGTTTAACATTTTCAAAAGTTTGGCAAAGTTTTTTTTCAAACCATTTTTTTCGAGTTTTCCAGAGCCTTCTTGACAACCTATCATCGAGTTTATACCTCACTCTTTATCACCCTGTATAATCTCAAAGATAAACCATCAAAACTTAATATTATTTTTCCATTTTACGTAATTTTTGCTGATTTAAAAAAATGGGTACCAAGTGAAATTGATTTTTGTTTCAGAAATTGAGAAATTTCAAAGTTTACTAAATTGTGATCATCTATTCATCAATAAATTGACATTTCAAATTCTAATAAGACAGAACAAAAAAAATTTAACCCGACATTTTTACTTCTCAAGCGTCAGCTACTAAGGAAATGTTATAATCAAGTCCATCAGGCGACTCCCTACTTTCATGTCTTCTCGACGTTTTATGACCCCAAGAGTACGAAAAAATGGGTCTCCTGTTTCCGTCTGTCTGTCGTATGTCAATTTTCATTACATAGTTGATCTCCGAAACTACTAGACCGTTTGTTGTCAAATTTTGTATGTATATTAGAAATGATTTTGAAAAGCCACCAAAATTTGTTATAGTTAAAATAAAATGAATCAGTTAACTTTAATTTTTGATAAAAACTTCTCACCAAAAAAATCTGATCTGACACCGTTCTGGGTGTAAGGGAAGTACTGTATAAATTCTTGAGATTAATTTTTTTAAGTTAGTTGACAGAGTTAACTTAAGCTTTGAACTGCTTCTGTATTTGAACTGGCTATTTCGAATCATTGAAATAAATTATTATGTTACAAAAATTACTAAAAAATAATATATTACAAATATTTGAAGAAGATTATTTTCAATGTTTAGAACTTAATTACATTTAAAGAATCTGTTTTATAAAATACAATCAAAAAATGATAACAGAGGAAACAATGATTTAAAAAAAAAACTCAAAAATAAAAAGCATTCACAATTTCGGCAAAAATTAAAAGAAGCTCTTTTTGGAACTTTGAAGAGTTGAACCTTCGGTCAGGTATCAAAATTTCATGTATATAATTAGGCAACCAACAATACACAACATCATGTATGATAAAACCAAATTTTATAAAACGTTAATTTTAAATTACTTTAATACGTCTAATAGCATTCTTATACTTATACAAACCACTAAAAATAATGAATAATGACTCTTATTAAAGTACTTCCAAGAGTACTTTAAATTCACATCTTTTATATGACCAGACTCACGCTTTACAACATATTCAAACTAAAATTAATTCGTTTGATTCTTTAATTACAACGAAAATGAGAAACCAAATACAATGGTTTTTATTTTGAAAGCGAATTCAAATGTTGGTTCACCACATGAACAGCAACATAACCTCAAAACAGTGTAACTCCTGGGAGCCTCATTTCCGAATTTTCCGCACCCATTTGGGCATTTTCGCACACACCACACAAAATAAATATCATTTTACTTACATGTGCCGCCTATTTGACTTGGTATTGTACGACAAACGTCGTCTAAACACTAGCCGCTGCACCATCTCGACCTACAACAAAAACACCCAATCAGCCCAAAATACCACCAACAATCAAAAATAGCAATAATAACAAACCACAAATCTCAATCTTCACGTTAAAAATACAACAAAATCAGCGGATGACCGCCGATGAAAAAATCACAAGAACCCACACTAACCTGTCAACTTTGACGTTCAGCAACGAAAGAACTGGCGCAGGCGTACCAACCCACAACACTCAGTCATCGCCATCTACGTCAAAAATGTCGAAATCAAATTTCTCCTGATAGAAATTCAGATATGGTTTCTCTATTCGAGAACTATGAACAGCAATATTCAGTGCTCACGGCTGATATTACGGCCCAGATCGGCCAGCTCGCCGCCTCCGCCACAAGTAAGCCCCCGACTTTTGACATGTCATCGTCGTTCAGTTGTTTTTTGTGTTCGCAGAGGACCGCCGCCAGCTCATCTCCAATATCGAGAAGCATGTCGAGGAGGCGCAGGAATTGGTAAGGTCTGGCGTGTTTTCAATCCGTGGTGGCTAATTGGGGTTAATTTAGCTCGAACAAATGGATTTGGAGGTTAGGGAGGTCGAATCTGCAAAAAGGCAGAGGTGCAGGACCAAGCTAGATTGCTACCGTGCTGAACTCAAGCGGCTGACGCTGGAGTACATCAAGGCTCGGTCGATAAAGCAGTTAAGTTATGACAGCGCGGAAGAATTGAATGATGTGAGGATGGCGTCGGACCAGAAGCAGAGATTGTTGGACAACTCGGAGAGGATAGAGAGGACGGGGAGGCAGCTGGAGGAGGGGTACAGAGTGGTGATCGAGACGCAGGAGATAGGGAATCAGGTCATGCAGAATTTGAATAACCAGAGGGAGACTATCAAGAGGACGCGATCTAGGGTATTTTTAATGATTTTTGTTTTGCTTATCAACGAATATAATATTTTTCGATGACGTGTTTTTGAAATTTGTGCCAGGTGCGCCATCTATCAGATATTATTTGTTTTAGTTACGGGAGACTGACGAGGAGTTGGGCCGTTCGTCCAGACTGATGGGTTCGATGATTATGAGGTCCATTCAACAAAAAATTATCTTGTTCATTGTTGGTGCCTGTTTTCTAATCGCCCTATGCTTAGGGCTGTACTTAGGCTTGAGCAAATAGATTTTACACTGTAGGTATTGTATATAGTTAAGCATAAACAGAAGTATTCTCTTGTGTCATATTATTTTATAGTTTCCAACTTATTTAACCGTTGTTATTTTATTTGTTATACATTCCTGTTATTTGTGATGTTCTTGTTCGCACTGATTTTAGCAATAGTGGATGATGAATACAATAATTAATTTATTTTAATAATACAGAAGTACAAAGCAATTTTTGTGGTTTCTATAAATTTTAAATAAAAGCACTACCCTCAATTTTTTCGAAATTTTAGAAATCCGTAAAGCTGTCAAAAATACAAATTAAATTGCGTAAATGAACAAACTTGTTTCAACAGTCCCATTTTGTCCTTAAATTCTCATTTTATATTAGTACCAATATCTGGTTTCTCGTAAGTTTCTGTTCCACCCTTCAGTTACAAAATTCTTTTCCGAATAATTTTGTAAGATATTTAATATGCAATTTATATTTTTCATGTTTAAGTTTTCATAGCTACCTACAACCAGTGATTATATACCGGGCATTTTTTTTAAAACTGAACATATCCCTATGTTCAGTTTTAAAACGACGTAGTCAATTGCAACTGTAATGCAACCAACATTACAACAACTCCATCGTTTAAAAAAGTAGAATCAAATAGAATGCTTTGAAATGTTTTCTAAAATGTCAAAACTGCTTGCACACAATGTATTCGACAGAAGAAAAAATTCAAATACTGCAATGGTACCAAGCTGGTAGTAGCATGCGAATTGTAAGGGATTTATTTTCCATACAGTACCCTACTAGGCCAATTCCGTCTCTCGCAACAATTTGGAACATAATTAAAAATTTTAATGCAAGAGGATGTGTCGTCAATAGCCATCATCAAAGAAATAGGAGATGTCACATTTTAACCGAAGAGATGAAATTAAACCTATTATGCTACGCTGAAGAGGAACCAATATCCACCATAACGCAAATGAGTAACTACTTCGGTATTTCCAGATTCTCAATTCGAAAAGTTTTGAAGGAATGTCGATTTAAACCATATAAATTTAGGAATCATCAATACCTCACTGAAGAGGATAAAATTAGGAGGACGGATTTTTGTGAATTGATGTTTAACTCACTGAACACTAATGAACACAACTTTTAGAAAACATTATGTTTACAGACGAGGCATCATTTAGTAGGAATGGCGAAGTTAATTCACAAAATTATCGGTTAGATTTTCTACAATTTTATTATTCAATGCTATTTATGCCAAAATGTTCTTATTACAGATACTGGGCCCGCACAAATCCTCATGTGCAAAATTTAATTCGCCATCAAGTACAAGAAAGACTAAATGTGTGGGCTGGCTTAATAAACAATAGGCTCATTGGACCATTTTTTATTGATGGCAATTTAAATGCAAATAAATTTCTTAGACTTTTAAGGAACCATATTATTCCTGAAATTGAACCACTAAATATTGAGAATATTTGGTTCCAGATGGATGGTGCACCAGCACATTCGTGTATGATGTATTTGGTGAACGTTGGATAGGGAGATTTGGTCCTGTAGCTTGGCCTGCACGATCACCAGATCTTTCGCCAAATGATTTTTTTCTCTGGGGACACCTACATAATACAATTTATAATCACGTAGAAATTCAAACAATTCAGGAGTTACAGGAACGAATAGTCAGAGCTTGCCAAGAGTTGAATCCAAATTTCGTACGAAATGCAGTGCAAGGATTCCATCACAGACTTGGTTATTGCTTGGAATAGGGAGGCGGTCATTTCGAATATTTGTTATAAAATTTAGTTTTTGTTTTATAAAATTTTTGTCGTATTTATGGTTTTGTTTATTGTTGAACATGTGCATAACACGCTGTAGTTTCGGTGAAAAAGCTCTGCTTTACTCAAACGATTTCTCGTGGTTATGCAACCAACAATGTTCCTGCATTGACAGCGTCGTTTTAAAACTGAACATAGGCCTATGTTCAGTTTTAAAAAAAATGCCCGGTATAGTCACTGCTACAACCCTTTGATACCTTACCAACCGCTACATGGCACCCGCTTTTCTAGAGGCATTTTACAACTTTATTCAACAGATGGCCCTGTTATAAGTTTATTCTTTATTTGTTCTTTGCATTCCACCTTTCATCAGGGTTTGGGACCTCTGGAAAGGAGAAACTTTCAATTTACATACTTAAATTTAGCGTAATTTTTTGTATCAACTAAGGTGATGATTTTTTTTTCTTATTGTAATTCTAATTTTATTGTTCTAATTCAAATGCCAAAGTAGTGTTGATTTTGTTGTTAAATTTTATACTTGGATTTTTACGGAAGAAGAATGTACAACGAATTTGTTGAAAATTGCAAAAACTGAAAATTTTGAAAATCCAAAAATCCCAAAATCGAGAAATTGAATATCAAAAATCGAAAAATTAAAAGTTCGAATTAAAAAAATATAAAACTGTAAAATTTAAGTGAAAAATTGCACAACTGGGAAATCAAAAAATTGAAAAAACAAAATCTGGAAAATCGAAAAATGAAAAATGGATGAATTAAAAATCGGGCCAAAAAAAATTAAACAAAAAATCGAAATTGAGAAATTGAAAATTGAAAAATTAATGGATTGAGAAGTTGAGAAAGTACAAAATTGTACATTTGAAAAATTCAAAAACTGGAAGAATGGACTGAGAAATTGAAAAATAATTAAATCAGAAAAAAAAATTAAACAAATTAAAAATTTGAACGATCGAATTGAGAAATTGAAAAATCTGAAAATTGAAAATGGAGAAACTGAAAAATCGGATAGCTGAAAAGTGTAAAAATTTGTGTACATCTTTGAAGAAAGAAACATTTGAAGAATCAAAAAATTTAAAATCGAAAAATTGAAAATTCAAAACATCGGATTAAGAAATTGACGAATTACAAAATTTTAAAAATCATCTGAAAAACTAGAAAATCGGGAAATTGACAAATCAGATGTCGAAAAATCGAGAAATTGAAATAAATCAAATACTAAAAAATTAAAAAATCGAAAAATTAAGAAATTAAAACTGAAAAATCGAAAAACTGTAAAATGGAAAAATAGAAAAATTAAAAATCTATAAAAATTTAAAATTCATAAAAATTGGAAGATCGGATATAGAAATTGAAAAACTACAAAATAGTAACATTAAAAAATTTAAAAATTGAAAAAAGTTTCTCAAAGATCAAATAACTGAAAAAACGGAAAGCTGAAAGATAGAAATATTTCAAATTCGTAAAAGTGAAGAAAGAATAACTGAAAAATCAAAAAATTAAAAATTGAAAACCTGGAATTCGAAATTCAAAAACTGAAAAATTGGACTGAGAAATTAAAAAATTACTAAATCGAAAAAAAATTAGAAAAATTGAAAAATTGAAAGATCGGATTGAGAAACTGAAAAATCTAAAAATTGAAAATGGAAACACTAAAAAATCGAATAGCTGAAAAGTGGAACAACTGAATTTGAAAAAAGAAAAATTGAAAAATCTAAAATTGAAAAATCTAAAATTGAAAAATTAAAAATTTGGACAACAAAACTAAACGAAAAATTGAAAAATTGAAAAATTCATAATTCAAAAAATTGAAAAATTGAAAGATCGGATTAAGAAATTGAAAAATCAAAAAATCGAAAAGTCGAATAGCTGAAAAATGGAAGAATTGCAAAATCCTAAATTTGAAAAAAAAAAAAACTGGAAACCCGAGAAACTCAAAAATCAGATGACGAAAAATCGAAACATTACAGAATCATTGTTAAATTACAAAATTTAAAAAATGGAAAATCCATAAACTGGAAAAAGGGTGACAAACTGAAAAATTAAAAAATTAAAAATCGAAAAACTGAAAAATTGAACTAAAAAATTGAAAAATTAATAAATCAAAAAAAAAACATTACAAAAATTGAAAAATTGAACTAAGAAATTGAAAAATTCCTAAATCAAAAAAAAATTAGAAAGCTTGAAAAATTGAAACATTGGATTGAGAAATTGAAAAATCTAAATATTGAAAATGGAGAAGTTAAAAAATCGACTACCTGAAAAATAGAAAAATATATTACATATTTGAAAAAAGAAAAACTGAAAAATCCAAATTTGAAAAATTAAAAATTTGGACATGAAAAACTAAACGAAAGATTTAAAAAACAAAAAATTTAAAATCGAAAAATTGGAAATTCAAAAAATTGAAAAATTAAAAGATGGGATTAAGAAATTGAAAAATTACAAAATTTTAAAACTACAAAATCAAAATTTGGAAAATCGATAAATTGGAAAAAGTCAATATGTGACAAAATAGAAAATCAAAAAATTAAAAATCGAAAAACTGCAAATTGAAAAATTGCAAGATTGGATTGAGAAATTGAAAAATCTAAAAATTGAAAATGGAGAAACTAAAAAATCGACCAGACATATGTATTTGAAAAAAGAAAAATTGAAAAATCCAAAATTGAAAAATTAAAAATTTGGACATGACAAACTAAACGAAGAATTTAAAAATCAAAAAATTTAAAATCGAAAAATTGAAAATTCAAAAAATTGAAGAATTAAAAGATCGCATTAAGAAATTGAAAAATTACAAAATTTTAAAATTACAAAATCAAAATTTAGAAAATCGATAAATTGGAAAAAGTCAACATGTGACAAACTGGAAAATCAAAAAATTAAAAATCGAAAAACTGCAAATTGAAAAATTGAAAAATTGAAAGATCGGATTGAGAAACTGAAAAATCTAAAAATTGAAAATTGAAACACTAAAAAATCGAATAGCTGAAATGTGGAAAAACTGAAAAAAGAAAATTTGAAAAATCTAAAATTGAAAAATTGAAAAATTAAAATATGTTAAATCGAGAAATTTATAATTCAAAAAATTGAAAAATTGAAAAATCGGATTAAGAAATTGAAAAATCAAAAAATCGAAAAGTCGAATGCTGAAAAATGGAATAATTGCAAAATTGTAAATTTGAAAAAAGAAAAACTGGAAAACCGAGAAACTCAAAAATCAGATGACGAAAAATTACAGAATCATTGTTAAATTACAGAATCTAAAAATTGGAAAATCCATAAACTGGAAAAAGAGTGACAAACTGAAACATTAAAAAATTAAAAATCGAAAAACTGGAAATTCGAAAAATTCAAAAACTGAAAAATTAAACTAAAGAATTGAAAAATTACTAAATCAAAAAAAAATTACAAAAATTGAAAAATTGAAAATGGAGA